AGTCATGAATGGAATGACATGATGTCAAGGATTTGCTTCAAAATAAACAAGTGAGTGGATATAGGGAGTAGTAGGTGGGGCTACCAGGAAGGAAACCAGACTGGTCAACTTTGAGGTGGGCTCATGGACTCACTGTATGGTCCTCTCTGCTCTTGTATGTTTGAAATTCTGCACAATTAAAATATTTAAATCAACCAATATAGAGGTGAACAATCATTTCTGTAGAGAAAGAGAGCAAACAGGTCAGAGAACACACACACATACAAATGGCCAATAGTATTTGAAAAGATGCACAACCTCTATAATTAAATACAAATTCAGCTGGGGAACCATTTTGCACCTAGAACTTGGCCAAGATGAAAAGTCTGATAGTACCCAGTGCCAGCAAGGACACAGAAACAGGCACTCAGATCTACTGACAAGTGGCCAGGACAGCCTCTTGGAGGACAATTCAGCAGCATCTATGATCATTTTAAAGACAACATTCCACTCAGAGGAATTTATTCATCAGATATACTCGCATAAGTATACACAAAGGTATGTTCAATGATGTTCTTGAAGCAAGGTTTCTGGTAGCAAAAATAGAAAACAACTTGGAATGTGCAGGTATTAAATAGGAGGTGGATCCACATGTACTGGATACCCTTGATAACCTAGAGGCAGCTGAAAGAGATCATTAAAGGGAAAGACAGGAAGTTTCAGAATGGTGTATACAGCATGATTTTTGGGTTAAAAAATACCATGAAGAGAAAACATCTGGCCATATATTTTTTGTCAATAGTCCATAGCTTTTGGAGAGTACGGTGGGATTGTTGGGGGCACAGGAAGGAGGAAGGTGGTTTATTTTTCACTGTGCATTTCTGTTTTTTTTTTTTTTAACTTGAGGGTGTGTTACTTTTGTAATTTAAAGAAGTTTCAGTATTAGAGAAGTATTTACAACATCTTCAAACTCTTGAAGCCAATCAGACAAAATCAAAGCGCCTTCCCTGCACTGCAAAGAAAACTGGGCAGAGAACCCAGATGGGAGCTCACGAAAGTGGTCAACAAGTAAATGAAATGTCTACCTACCCACAGTAGCACTAAATTCTCCTTCCTCCCTGGATCCTCGGTGCACCGTTCCCTCCTGCAAGTCACCAGTTGAATGTTTACCCTCCTGAAGATAATGCAGTTCATACACCAGCACAAGGCCTTCCCCCTTCCTTCTTCACACTGGTAGCATATCATATATGGCATGTCACCATGCTTTTTATTCAACACTTTATCTTGAGGTGCTTAGTGGCTGCAGTGTTCCACTCTGTGGATGCATCCTAGTTTATGTAACTTCAGTGCTACTGATGGACATCCAGGCTGTTTCCCTGCTTTTGCTGCTACAGACAACGGTACAGATTCTTGCACGGTGACCACTGTGTACATGGTGTGCAGGTTGGGCACATTCCTAGGTCTGGCTACGGGATCAAAATAGAAATTATAAAATTTCCCCACAGTTTTACATCTATTATACAAAACTCAACTCCCCACACCTTTATGAACCATACTGAACCTTCCCCATCTTTGCCAATCTGATAAAAACCGTCTCCTGCTATAAACTTTCTGGTAGTAAATATCAAAGGCTTAGACTTGCACATCTCCTTGGATCAGAAATTCCACTTCTAGGAGTGTACCCTAGGTAAAGAATAAGGGATAGCGGGCAAGATGTTCACTGTAGCCAGTTTGGTGGACCAATGCCTAAAATGTACCTCATATTGTGCTTGAATTTTCACTTCTTTTTTGTACCATGAACACATTCTCTTTCCTCTTTTTTTTACCACCACCCCTTGGCCCTCTCAATGGCTTTCAACCACCATTTATGGTTGGCACGTCTCCTTTGTTAACTTTAAAAATAAAACCAGCAGTTGTTTTACCAGCAAAAAATGGGTTTATTTGGGAATAGCAGAGAATTGCAATCCAAGACAAGCCTGGTAAGGCAAAACCATAGGCAAGTCCAGAGAACAAAAGAGAGGAATGTTCTTTTACAGAGGAAAGTGAGAAGTAGGGAGGGCTGTTATAAACAAAAAGTCCATTAGAGTAAACTGGGAGTTCAAAGTATAGTGGCTTTTCATTGGCTGAGTTGTGACTGTCTCTCATTGGCTGGGCTGTTGCCAGAGGAGTAGAAAACCTTTCTTTCTTCTGCTGGGATACCAAAGTAGTAGCTAAAGTAGCAGGGACTTACATGGTTTCTCTTCCATTTGGGTCTGCAATTAAGGAGTTTAGGAGTGGTAGGGTGTGAGATCACTCCCTGCTGGCTTTCCAATTTTATTGTAAAGGAGGTTCCCTTTTATTTTCACACCTCAACCATTTTATTGAAGATTTTTAACAACTTAAAAATATGAAAAATGCTTTAATAACAACAGTAGGCATTTGTAATTATTTTCCTTTTAATCCTTTACTGCAAAAAAACTTAGAACATATATCAAAGTAGAAAGAATATTGTAACAAACCCCGTCTGCATCACCTAAATGTGACAATTAGTATTTTGCTTCAGTTTTTCCCCCTCCGCTGAAGCATTTTCAAGCAAGTATCAGGCTGATATTTCACCCCTAAATACTTCACTATACCTAAAAACTAAGAACATTTTCTAAAGGAACTCCAATGTTATATTGTTACCCAATAGATTAGCAGTAATTCCTTTAAAACTTCTGTAACTTTTCTTTTGAAATGTCATGTTTATATAAAAGTTGCAAAAACAGGGCACAGACCTCTCATGCCCTTAACTTGGATTCCCCACGTTAATATTTCTGAATATTGAGAATATTAGAACACGAAAATCAGTTGCAGACATGACACAGGGCTTTTCCTGGTCACAAAGGCCCTCTACTTTCCCTGGGCCACTGCTCTCTGGCTAGAGGAGATGCTCCAAATGGTACGCACCAAAGCCCACGCCCACTTCTGTCTCCTCCCTTGTCCTTCACATTTCAAAACCATACAAGAATGATTTCTTCCTAAAAAAGTCAAATAAAAGATGCATAAATATCTCTTTAAGCACTGTACCAAGCCTCAAATCCAAGGCTCCCTGTGAGTCCTCAGGATATTATCTGTGCAATACACAGGGCACTACAGTGGACATTTCCCACAACTTATTTCGTGCTTTAATTACTGTTATTTTATTGACTCACTTTACAAACTCCCCTGCTCAAACATCCAGGCAAAGCTGTGCCTAAGCTGTCCCCAGCAGCAGCACAGTGACCACTTCTGACCCTAGGATGGTGACTCAAGAAGTAGAACATTTTAAATGCTAAGAAACTCTACCAAACTGCCATCTGAAAAGCCTTTACCTACAGGTTCTTCCACCAGCACAGTATGAGGGGTCCTGTTTCCCCCACCTATAATTTGGCAGTACATACCATTCACATCCAATGGCTAAGCACAGCTGATGAGCAAAACGTGGACCCAACTGTCTTTCATAAAGCCCCCCACTACTGGTGAGGCCAAGTGTGTCAGCTTCTCTGAGGAACTTGAAAGAATTACACTCAAAGACTTCTTTAGCAGTGGAAGCCACAATAAAATGAATAATAAATAGTCTACACAAAGGCCTGCTCTGAGACTTCTGTGCGGTTATTAAAAAACAAAACACCAGTGACTTAGGGCCTGCTCTAGGCTTGATGAAATAGTGAATGCAGCCCCAGGCCTCATGGTGCTCACCCAGGAGGATGCTCAGAGTAAGCAGGGGAGCATCATCCTCATGCCTGTGATGCCTGCAAGGTACAGAGCGATACAGTGAACAGGAAGGGCAGGAGCCCCACAGCTACTGAAAGTGAGGAATGAGGACATGTAGTCAGATGAATGGTGGCCCCAAAAGATATGTCCACAGCCTAATTCTTGGAGCCCGTGATCTTATTCGGAAAAAAAAAAAAGTCTTTGCTAAGCTCAGAATCTTTAAATGAAGAGGTCATCCTTGATTTTCTGATGAGCTATAAATCTAAGGACAAGTGTCCTTATAAGAGACACACAGAGGAAACTTGACAGTAGAGAAAGACCATGTGAAGACAAAAGATAGAAACCGCAACAATGCAACTACAAGCCAAAGAATATTAAGGATTGTCAGTAGCCACCAGAAGCTTGGAAGAGGCAAGTAATGGAGGAGGGGTTGGGAGTGGAGCCAACACCTTCATCTGACTTCTGGCCTCCAGAATTGTGAGAGAATAAATCTGTTGTTTTAAGCCACCCAGTTTGTGGCAGTTTGTTTTGGCAGTCCCAGAAAACTAATATGAACATCATACTACTTCTACTTTGTATGTATTTTGGAATTTCCATAACTTGCATAAAAGTTTTAGTGGCATATCCTTCATTTGTGAGCTGAGGTTACGTCAAGGTGAGAGAGGCTCTGGAAGGCCCTAGATTCACATGAGTGGGGCCAGAAGTCACAGACATCCCTGTGAAGTCCTATTGCCTGTTCTCCATCAAGACTCCTCTCACTAGGCCACTGTTGCTCCTGGAACCCTTATGAGCACGTCCACCTCAGGGTCTTTGTGTGCATCATCCAGGTGGTCCCTGCTGCTTCATAACATCCTGTAACTTTCAGGGCATCTGCAGAGGTCTCCCCCACTCTCCATCCCCCTGCCTGACTTGTTTTTTCATAGGCCTGCCCCAAGTGGTGTGATGGCTTTCTTACTTAATGTTATATCCCCCTTCACATCAACTTGGGGGCATGCTGTAGGGTCCTGACACATGTTCTGTGTAAAACCAAGGTCTTTGGGTACATACCAGTCCCAGTCTGAGATGGCTCTCACAGGGCCCCTGACTCCCAAGTGACAGCAACACCAAATCTCCCAAACCTTGGCTACGGCTAAGCCAGCAGGTTGGTCTGCCTTGTCCTAGACACAATGTCAATAGCACACCTGCAAATGTCTCTGAGCTGTCAGCTCCCCACCTAAGAAGACCCAGCGGAAACTGTCCCTCACTCAGCCTGACGGTGGGCTTGTCCTGACCACACAGAGGCAAAGGGGGTGGTGTGGCACATAGACTTTATTCTGACCGCTCCCCAAGTCCTGGGTCCAGGCCCGCGTCCTGACCAGCGTGTGCGTTCACTCAGCACTCAGAAAGACCCTCTTGCGTGCGGTATTGGTGTACGGGTGCCAGCGCCACTCCACATCTGCTATGGCCTCCTGCTCCAGCGTGCCCAGGCGGATCATGTACACTGGGGGGCGGAGATGGGCATATTGCCACCTACACCACCAGCACCCCCCCACCACCAGAAGGGCAGGAAAGCCCCAAACTCACACTTCAGTTCAAAGCGAGGTCCAACCTCGGTCAGCTCCACACTGCGGTGGCTGGTCTTCCTATATACATGGTGCCTGAGGCAAGGGGAGGCAGGGCATGGGAACGGAAGACAAGGAGCAGATGTGGGTCAATAACAAACAGCAGTGGACACAAAGGTCAGGACACTATTCTGAGGCCAGCCCACGGACCTACCGGAAGGAGATATAGTCATCTTGGTTTGCGAAGGTGATGACCCGGTGGCTGTCATCTTTGGGCACAGGGAACAGGTAACGGAGTATGTCGGAGACCTGGGTCAGAGGGAAGGAGAGTGCCAAATGCCCAGCCGGGAACTCCCTGCCCCCAGCCCTCATCACTCTGTGGACCCAGACTCACCCGCTTGCCTAGTCGGGAGGAGAAGCCATGCATGATGAGGTGGGGCTTGGCCTCGGACATGGTGCCCAGGTCAGGGATGTCGTGCCGCATGACCACATTGCACAGTGTGAAGTAAGCAGTAGGGCCGAAGGGCAGGTGGCTGACAATGAGCCCCACTGGTGGGGCCAGGCGGGCTGTCAGAAACCTCATCTGCTCTCAGACAACCACCCCAGAAGACACCCTGTTCCCACCCACAGTCTTACCAGGTGTGCCTCGATGTTCATGGACAACCAGCAGGTCAGTGACACCATTGGCTTTGCAGGCTCGCACCAGTGCCCCTACCTCATGCCGGCCACGGTTCATGCGTTGGGCACCTGGGAACACCAACTTCAGCTCCTGTGCATGAACTCACTTGAGTTAGGACTGGGGCCACTAGTGCCTTGGCACCTCCCACTCACTTCCCACTACTGGTACCTTTGCAAACATCTTGAGGCGGGAACTGGGGTCTCGGGAGGTAGTGATCATGACCTTAGGATCCTCGACCCCTGCCCATCGATATTCATCATCCATGTGGTTGGTCACACCTGTCAGAGCATGAGGGGCAACAACGAGACACTGTCTTGGGAAATACAATGCTAACTTGAGGGTGGCTGAATCTGTCTAGAGATTGATGATGAACCGAAAATGCTCCACACCTGCACTGAGCAAGAGGGTGGCTCCCCAGCCACACTGGCTATAAACACAAGTATGACTGACAAACTAAATATTTAAATTTGATTTAATTTTAGTTCATTTTTTTTATCACAGAGGACTAATGGCTACCATCTAAGTGCAAGTCTAGATTCTGTTAAGGCCAAAGGTAACAGACTCCTTTCCCTCATAACAAAAATTTATAATGTCTGTGATACCTTTAATATTTGTTGAATAATGCAATGAATGAAACATTTGGGTGTTAATGAAGTGCTGGGACCTGGGGACATGGCAGTGAACAAAATGGACACTGTCTTGCCTCAGCAGAGTTCACATTTTAGTAAGGGGGGCAATTAACAGACAAAACAGAGTAAGTGGGATAATATTGTATGTTATATAAACAAAACTGGGAGCACTAAGAAAGAGCTTTCCTGAGGTGCCATCTGTGCGGAGTCATGAGGGCATATGGAAGACAGTTTCGCAAGGAGGAGCTCCACAGCCTTTCCTTCAAGGTGTCTGCAGAATGAGATGGAAACCAGCAGGCTCAACTGCAGGGGGAGAAGCTGGCCCAGTGTCAGGAAAGTTTACCTTCACCGCCGGCGTCATCGAACTCCAGGGACCCCTGTAAGGACAGAGCCTCCCTGCGTAACTCGGTGGGAATCAGGCGATTCTCTGCAGGTGGAACACAGACGGGCTGAGTAAGACACACGCATGGAGCCCTCAGTTTATATAACACTGTGGCTTACAAAAACTGTATAGACTTTATTTAAAAAGTACCCTTTTCACTCCCTTCTGTGCAGAAAGGTGATACACGACTTTTTTGGCAGGGGGAAGACAGAGACAAAACTATTTTTGTCTACATGCCAATCTGTTAACAATGGTTACAGGAGATTTCATTTTCTATGGTTCCTGAGTCTCATGGTTTGAGGGCTTTCTAAAATATTTAGTTGCAAGTATATATTGTTTTTGTAATTAGAAAAAAGTTAACAAACTAATTTTTAAAAGAACAAATACAGAGTGCTCTTTCTGTATGAAGGTGGACCAGAAACCCTGAAACCCTCTGACAACAAAACTGCTAAACTTGATGCTTTGACTCAGAGGTTTCCTCTGTGAACTAAAGCTAGACTTGGTTAAAAAAGGGCTGGGCTGTGGGCATGCCCACTTTGGAGTACAGAGCTCAATATGAACATGCCCTTGGAACCAGCAGGTCTTTCCAATATGCCCTGGAGCAATTCTTGCACATGGAAGAGAAGGTTCATAGCAGCAATGCTGTTCCTAACTGCCCCAGACTAAAAAATGAGGTCAACACCAAGCACAGGGAAATGGGAGCCCCCTCTGCACTCAATAGATCTTAGAAACAATGCTGAATGAAATCATAAAGCTGGGAAAGAATACATACAACCTAATAACTACGTTTAAAACTAAAAACCAACCCATATGATTTAGGGATACAAACAAGTATGATAAAAGCACAAAGAAAAGCAAGGAAATGGCTTATTTTTAAACAGTATCCTGTATTGCGGTTACCTGAGTTGGGGAAAATATTCTTGAATTTCAATATATTGAGGATTTTTTATTAATAATGTGGGCAGATAGGTCACAGGTATTTAACATAACGCTTAATGTAAACATATAGTCACATACCACATGCACTTTATATGTTTAAAACACAGAAAATCAAAGTGAATTTAAAATAATCAGGTAGTAAGCTGATGTACCATCCAGATAGGAAACAAAGTTCTACACAAGAACCCACACAAGAACCAAGAAAATAGGGATAAATATAACATTTCCATTCAGGCATGTTATCACTTTTCATTAGTATGACAAATAAAAAGTGGAGAAAATATTGCAAAGTTAGATCCTAATTCACAAGTCGAATAAAATTAAATTCTCAACGGTTTAATGCTTTTAAAATGCAACGGAATCATAATAACGATAAAAAGACAGTAAAATATTTTTGTTATCTTGTACTGAAGAAGGTAGCAAAAAAAAAAAAAATGGGGGAGGTGCGGGAGGGAGAATATCTATAGGACAACGTAAAAATTTAAAATTTGGGAAGAACTAAACACACTATAAACAAAACTAATAGGCAAACTGTAAAATCTGGACACCGCAGCATATACGACAAGACATGAAATTTATAACATCACGGAAGGGGCATTTGCAAAGCCAAAAGACAAGGAAAACGTCCAGTAAATACTTGAAAGGATGCTCAGCCACACAAACACTAAGAAATGCTAATATAAACGCGTTTTATACCATTTGGTCTTTTACTCCGTTGGATTTTAAAATGCAAACCAATGGTCTTTTATAACGATAGGTCTAGAGCCCCCCCACCGGGGGGGCGGAGACGTGCCTACCTTCCAGGGCGCGCCGAACCTTCTCCTTCCTCTCCTGGGCGGTTCGCAACGACTCCTCGCGGGCCTTGCGGTACAGGTACTCCCGGCGAAGGCGGGCCTCACGACGCAGCTAGGGGACAGAGGGTCCGATCAGCCTCTTTCTCGCCACGCACAGCCGGGCCCCGGGGGCCACCAGCCTCACCAGCCCCAAGCCTAGGAATAATCCCCAGCCCTGAGCGAGTCCCCAACATCAAAAACAGGAGCTCAAACATCCCTCCTACCATCCTGAGCGCGACTTCCACGTGGGTCCAGGAGAATGCCGGGGCAGCGTAAGCAACGCCACCCTCAATTCTGCCCTCAACCAAGAAGGTCGCTGGAGGCTTCGCTACACTCTGCTACTGTCGGGAGTGCCCAATGTTAAGATGACGGAGGGTGGGTTGGGAGTCGCAAGGCGATTGGCCAATCTGGAGGCGCACTGGAACAGCCAATAGGCTGGCGTCAAAACGTTGTCACGTCGCTAAGGATCGCCCTTACTAAAGATGTCGCTGCATGGCTTCATCACTTATCACTGCTGTGCAGGATGCCCAATTTTAAGATGGGCAAGTGATGAACCGCTTGAGTAATAACTGGCGGTTCGAAATGATCCAGCAACCGTAAAAGCAGCACAGCGGTTGACTGGAGGCTCGCCTACCGGCTCCTCGAATTAAAGCCTCTTCTCCCTTAAAATGGCTGCCATACAGCTATGCCTCTTCCATCACCACAGCTATCGCCCTACTATTAAAATGCGGCCTCTTATCGCTTCTCGGCCTTTTGGCCAAGTTCAAGTGTAAAATGCGGCCTCTTCCAGAAGCTACTCGGAACCACCCACAGCTCTACCCAGCTCTAGCCGACCGTTCCGTTGCCTCACACCCTGGGGAGAGCACAGCTAGTCAATTCTGGGTCGTTGCTTCAAGAGCGCTTGCCTTTAGAAACGTTGGGCAACTCGGCCCACGGCTGGGAACGCCCCTTGAAGGTGAGCCTATTGGTTGTCATGGCGGTATGGCGAGCGGCGATTGGGCAACCTGTGAGGAGGCTGGTTCCAGACCTCAGTACCGTGGGCCCATGGCTGCGCCGGACGTAAGGGCGCAGGTGGACTCGCTCCTTCTGCAACTGCTCCGGGACCTGGAAGAACTGGAGGCGAAGAGGGCGGCATTGAACGCTCGGGTGGAGGAGGTGGGATCTTGGGGAGGGAGGGATGGGCGGGCATGCGGAGGTAAACTGAGTTTCATCTCTCTCTTCGTATCCCAGGGCTGGCTCTCGCTCTCTAAAGCTCGCTACGCCATGGGTGCCAAGTCTGTAGGTCCTCTGCAGTATGCCTCCCGCATGGAGCCTCAGGTCTGCGTCTACACTAGGTGAGGAGCCGTGCATGTTGGAACGGGTGGGCGGGCAGGGTCCAGGCTGGGGCCTCCAAATGTCGATCCTCCCTTCTCGTTCTTCAGCGAGGCCCAGGACGGACTCCAGAAGTTCTGGGTGGTGAGAGCCAGCGCCCAGACTCCAGAAGAGGTGGGGCCCCGTGAGGCCGGTAAGTCCCTCTTTTTTCCCGTCAGGGCGCCCTCCCGATGTCAAAAACAAAACGTACAGGGTAACTGAGATGATTTTATTAAGTGTTGCGATGGAGAGAGCGGCCCAGATGGGAGGATCACAGTGTCTCAGCAGGCTGTTTTGTTTGTTTGTTTTTTGCTTTAGACTTCTGTAGGGAGAAATAGACAAGTTATAGGTGATGTCCTTTACAGTTGGGATAGTTTTGCAATTGGGGGAAACTTCAGTCAGTTGAACAGAAAATGTCTGGTTTCAGAGGGACAAACTTCTAATCTCAATCATTTATGAGACGAACGGGAAGTTGGAGGGTCTGTCTGGCCTTTAAGCATGTTCAGGCAAAATGGGAAAAGTAAATGTGTGGCTCCTTGTTTACCTTGTAAACAAAGGGGTCATCTGCTGATCTTGTGAGAGTCATGAGGAGTGGTCTGGGCATCTCATCTGAATCATAAAGGGAAGGGTTGTTCTTTGTGGTAAGCTGTTTTCTGGAACATAAATGGTTGGAGGGATTTTCCAGCCTTCAGTGTTTGTCAGGATCATGAGCTCAGATCAAGTTCAACATTGTCACAGAGAAGACAAGGGACAGGTAATGAGACCCTCAACCTCCAGTCTGTCTTTCTCCAGCTTTGCGCAGACGCAAGGGTCTCACCAGAACCCCAGAGCCGGAGTCCTCCCCAGCCCCCAGGGACCCTCTGAACTGGTTTGGAATCCTGGTTCCTCACAGTCTGCGTCATGCCCAAGCCAGCTTCCGGGAGGGTGAGTAGACTTCTATCTGCAGGAAGAACTTGAGTACTTAATGCCATGCCTGGCTGGGGTTAATCTGCAAAGGGTTTTCCAGGTTTTCTCCGTAGCAGGCTTTTGTTGCAAACCTGCTGTTTTTTCAACAAAGCATTTACTGGCTGTTGGCAGTGTTCCAGGCTCATGCTAGGTGCTGGAGATAACAGCAGGAAATGAAAGAGATAAACACCCCTCATGGAATGTTTATTCTATTGAGGGGAGAATGAAAACATGCAAATAAATAAGTAGGCCCATATATAATAGAGGTAGTGAGAATTGTTAGGGAAAAATAAGATAGGGTATGGTGGATGGAGTGGGACAGGAGTGGGTGAGCGTAGCTATTTTATGAAGGGTGGCCTGGAAAGGCCTCTCTGAAAAGATGGAGAGAATTTTATGGTTGATCTGGGGGATCAGTGCTGTAGGCAGAGGGACCAGCCAGGGCAAAAGCTTTGAGGTGAGATGTTTAGGATGGCAGAGAGGAGGCCAAATGGGTTGGAGTGGAGTTTATGTAGCAGGGAGTGCCCGGAGCGCAGGTCAGAGGGGGCTGGGCCCAGGTGATTTGAGGTACAGGCCCTGATGAGGACTTTGGGAGTCATGGGTGGCTCTGAAGAGAGGGAGGCACAGTTGGACCCACAGAGTGATAGGAAGACTGTGGTGCTGGGTGGGAACAGACAAGAGCAGAGGGAGGAAGCAGGTGACGGGGAGCAGCCAGGCTTGAGATGCAGGTGGAGGCAGTGAAGGAGAGGGTAAGTGATGGGAACCTGCATGTTTTGAGAATAGAAGCCACAAGATTTACTGACAGATCAATTTGAGAGTAAGGGAAGGAGAGGAATGAAGGCTGAGCCCACAGATTCCAGCAGGAGCACCTGAGGGAATGAAGTTGCCCTCACCTGGTGGGAGAGAGCTGCAGCCAAGGGTAAGTCAGGAGTTGGGTGAGAGTGTGTTCCTAGTGCTGTGTGGTGGAGACTGCTCGGGTATCTGGGCACATGCATCCGAGTTTGGAAGAGACCTGGGCTGGAAAGAGAGATTTGGGAGCCCACTGCATAACACTCGTGTTTAAATTCCCAAGTTGCTGACGCAGACACAGCATTTAAGCTGAAATCAGCAGAGGGCCTCAGAATGTGGACAGAAGGTGGGAGGAGGAAGGGGAGAAACCACTCGAGGAGACTGAGAAGTAGTGGTGAGGCAGGAGCAACAACCAGAGGGTGAGAGATCCCAGAAGCCAAGAGGAGTAAGTGCTTCCTGGAGGGAGGTGAGCAGATGTGTGGCCAGCTCTGCTGTCAGGCAGGTAGGCTGAAGACTGAACTGGCGAGTGGACTGGGCATGGAGGGCCCAGAAGACTGTTAAGCAGAAGCATCAGGCAAAAGCCACCTAGATGTGGATCCAGAATGTGGAACACTCCTGGGGGCAGAGAAAACAGAAGAGAGGGCGAGAACAGTGAAGGACTATTATAATGAAGGAAAGAAGGAAGGAAATGAGGGCATGCAACAGTGTTTTTTAGTCCCTGGTGGGTAATATAAGGGAGTAAAGAAAGTCTGTTGAAGAGGTGACATTTTAGTAAAGATCTGAAGGAGGTGAGGGTGTGGATCTAGTGAGGTTCTGAAGCAGCCAATGCAAGGCTCTTCTTGGAATCTTTTAGGAATAGTGTGGAGGCCGAAAGTTCTGGAGCCTTTCCAGTCCCTGGAGATGTTCAGAGCCCCCTGAGTCATGTGTCACATCGAGGATACCATGGTGACAATCTTATCTCTTCCTCTAGGCCTGCAGCTGGCTACAGACATGGCCAGCCTTCAGATCCGGATCGACTGGGGTCGAAGCCAACTCCGGGAGCTCCAGGAGAAACTCAGGCAGCTGGAGCCTGAGTCTGCCTGACTTGTGACCAGAGGCAGGGCAGTGAGCACAGCTGTTCTTTGGTGTGGCTGCCTTATCTCAGGCCTTCCTCCTTCACAGATTGCCCCTGCCCCTATTCCCACCCCAACTAATCCCTTATCCTTAAAATTTCTCTGGTTTGCATGTTTCTAGCTTTGTTAGGTGTAAAAGTTTGAAGAGGCAAACTGAATAATGTTGAAAGTCACTACTGTGAAACCACTTCTAAGCTTGTATTCTCCTAGGACACATTCATGTGGGGCAGGGGCAAAGCTGTTAGGTTAGTTCGTAAATAACCAGAACAGCCTCATGGATATATCAGCTGTGGCTTCTTTACAGGATGAAATACTGCACAGTTAGTGGCAGGGAAGGACAACAAATAGGTGCTTCAGTTTCACTAGATTCTCAAAACTAATTTTGATGTAGGAAAAAAAGCAAACATGGCTAACAAATCAGGACAGTTTGATTCCATGTCAATAAAAAACATGAACACCTAAGTAGATAGGTAGTCCTTGGCAGGTTTTAAGCCTGAAAGTAAAAAAGATCGGACTTAGATTTTCAGGGGAACTCTAGGAACTCTTCCTTTATAGGAGTGAGACTGAGCTGCTTTTAATTTTTGAAGGGCCAAATGTATTTCCTGTGCTGGGATCGGCTTCATTTTCCTACTGGGTGGTTGGTATTTTTAGTAGTTTCTAGGAGGTAATCTTTATGCTGTGGGAAAATTAATCCTTTGTTCATAATATGGAATGTAAATATTTTTCCCAATTTCTCTTGTAACTTTGCTTATGGTGTTTTTTTTTAAACCTTTATTGTAAAATAAAACACATTAAACTGCACAAAATAATTGAATAGTTTAATGAATAAGGTGAAAGCTATAGTAACCACCACCAGCTCTCATATTTTTTTAAATTAATTTTATTGATTTAAGAGTTGACTTTTATCAATCAGCTGTTTTATCATTTCTGGATTTAGAGTTGTAAATGATATGATAAAGGAATTCTCCAGTATTTTCCTTAAGAACTTTTGTGGTTTCAGTGAGGTATGGGGTGAATCCTGCATCCAGCTTTTTTCTACCATAGGTCTACATACTGTATGTTGAACCATTGATTTGAGATGTCACCTTTTTTTTTTCACATAAACCCATACCGTATTTTGGAGCTTCCATTGTTTCATTGATTTTACTGTCAGTTAATACACAGGTACCACACTGTTTTAATCCTTGAGTCTTTAACATTTACTTTAATCGCAGTAGGTCATATTTGTGGTTGGATTGGGAGGAATTGTTTTTTTATTTTGTTTTTGCCACATTGAGCTTCAGTTGTCATTGAAAAGCCTATGGAAGCACTCAAAAGAAAACTAGAGAAAAAAAGTACATCCCTTCTCACATAGGTTGAATTTCAGAACAAAATCCTGCTAGAAGTGTCAACCCAGTGAGATTTTGAAGTCAAAATAAGTAACAATACGTTTTTGTTTTTCACATAAAAGATATTCACGAGGAACTCCGTCCCGGATGGGGTCCTTTATTTTAAATGTCAGTTGATGTCGAAGGTCAAGCAATAGCCTTCATTTTACTGTTTGAATGCCCAGCATAGTAAGCAAATAGGGACTGAAAAAACCATAAACGCTCTGCAACCCGCCCTAACTCCAGTCCTTTGGGAGATCTCCCGGAGCAGGAGTTCCCGCCCCCCAGAGAGGCCCGGATGTTCCAGCCCAGGGCCCGTTTGGGGGAAGGGGGTCCTTGCAGCTGGGGCTCGCGCAGCCGCAGTCAGGATTTCCGGGGGTGGAGCGAACCTAACGGGTAAGAAACTGTTGTGTGAAGGGGCAGACGGCAAGCTGAGGTAAGGGATGTCTACAGAAACGAGAGGTGTGTTTTCAGCACCTCCCATATGGTCTAGCGGTTAGGATTCCTGGTTTTCACCCAGGCGGCCCGGGTTCGACTCCCGGTATGGGAAAAGGATTAACTTTTCGTTTTTACTGCCCAGGCCGGAAATTTGTATTTTCGCCACTAGAATGCCTCAAGTCGAATTCGGCGTTTCTTTCCAATTAAGCCTGGAGAAACTGGGGCGCGGGGAGCTCTGGGACCTATCATTGTGTGTTTTGAACGAAGTGTTAATTTTCATCACATCATTAAATTGTTTTCTCTATCAGTAATTTATTAATTATATAAGATACCATATACGTTATAGATTTGACTACCATTATATTTAAATATTGAATAATATTTAAAATACTCAAAATTTATTGTCAATCTCTGGGTGGGGCCACCCTCCGGGAGGGAGGAAGGGATGGGTGACGTCAAGACACTTGCAGCTTCTGCTCCAGAGCCAGTCCAGAGGCTGGGCTGCAACAAGTGGAGCTGAATCTCTGGAGGAGCATAGGATGAAGTGCATGAATGGACTGGAGAGGGCCAGTTGGAAGAAGTCTCTGGCAGTTTAATTTTCTCTGGTCTTGCGGCCGCTTTGTTTGCCTTCTAGTCCAGTGGTTAGAGTTCTTAAGCAATCCAGTTTGCCCCCAACCCTTTATGGAAGTTACTTAAAACTTAAGAATCCCTCTCGACCCCCAACACTTGCACACTTCAGTCAAAAGGAGAGCCAAACATACAAACATGAGTCACTAAGTGCCTTTGTCAGTTTTCCACCCCCTTTGTCTGGTTCACTTAGTCAACCCAGGGAGGTTATGTGCAGGGCTGAGGTCCTGCCTTCAGAAGTGGACCACTACACTCATTTATTCACTCATACATTTGGTGGTGGTGGGGGGGGGGAGAAATTATTTCTGTAATCATATTAATTTAAAGTGTATAGGTTAAAATAGGATACAGTGGAGCTGGGAAGTGATCACTCTGTCCTCACAAGAAAAAAAGCTGAATAAACTAAAATTTAACAACTCTTCTTAGATCCATGAGAAAATTGAAGTCACGGCTGAATTGCTGCCTTGAAAATTGGGGGGAAGACTGACTACAGAGAGTCATAGTATACCAGGCTCAGAAGCTGCTGCTGGAGCCAGTAACTGGTAGGAAAACTTAAAGGGTAATTGACCCTGTTGAGAGAAAAACTCTCTAAAGACCTGATCTATAAAGGAAGTTTATTTTATTTTATTTTATTTTTTATTTTATCTTACTTTATTTTACTTTATTTTATTTTATTTTGACATGTTTAATATTTATCGTTCTTTTGCAGAACAAGAATCCTAGGTTGTTGCTACCATGGTGGCTTAATTTAGACAAAAATAGCTAAGATGCATCAATTTATTACCATAGCAATTTTAACAGCGACTCACTAAGTTATTAACAGAACCATTTTCTAGAAAGTACTGATCTAGTCACATGAATATGACATAGGTGAAATATGAGAACAGTAAAAACATTTTGTACAATGCACTTTTAGTTCTCCACAGTTTACTATAAAGCAAATATAACTTGGCTCTGATGTAGACAGTTACTGATATAATTTTCAAGTTTTTCAGTGTGAGAAAGTCACTGTGACTGTGGCCCTCCTTAACATGGAGCCCATAACACTCCCTGGGCAGATTCAGACCCAACTCACACATCTACAAACAGACTAGAAATAGCCAGTCAGGTAAATGTCGGTTTTCCTCAAATAAAAACTGAAAACAAACAAAGATTTTGCCAGTTAGAACAGTTTCCAGTTCCATTTGGGATCTAGGCATGGATCCAATGGCCATCAGACTCAGTCAGAGCCCTCAGGAAAACTGGAAGAAATTCGTCAGAGATGGCAAAATCAAAGGTTTTCTACCTCAGCTACAGGGTGACCAGCACAACCTCACCTCTCCTCCTGACTCCTCAGCCAGGACAGAGAGAAACAGGCAGATTCACCAGAGGAACTGGGGCATTCTTATTTATAAACTAAGGAAATGAAGAGGCCCCAACCAGAGCATGTACAGATTTTGTGAAAGAATAAAGCCCTTGAGTATGACATTGGTCGAAGGCAAAAGAAGAGATTTCTATCTGCAGTAACATCTTTGCTTAATTTTTCCCAAGGGGAAGCCATTTTAGATTTTAAGTTAGCATGACTGTGTAAACTTCGTTTAAACCAAAAGCCTGATTTATGGCCCGCCAAGCCATAAAGGAAAACCATCTTGTCCTTAAGGTATCAATGAATACTCCTTCGCCTTTAACATTGCATTAATGTTAAATTAAAATTTGTGATTCCTGCCTATATGTTAATCTGTAATCTTTTGACCTTTGACAAAACGGAAAAAAAAATCTATAACCCTGTACAAAGTGTTCGTTCTCTGGAGCATTATCTTTCCTGTGAAGAGTGTGTTTCCCAGGCAGCTGTCCTAACTTGGGCTGGAATAAAACTTTCTTTCTTTTAGAGTTTCTGAAAGTTTTATTCATTTTGCATTGACAACCCTCACATTCTTGTGGGTTTTACGTCCAGGAACCCTACCAGGTTCTTAGGGTCAAGACTGGAGAAGAATCCCCTGGTGCTCTGGCAAAAGGAGGGAAAAGTAACCACTTGGAAATATGCCAGAGCACCCAGTTCTCCTTAACAAAGGCCTATCCTCAGGGAAACTGTTTTACTAGAGCCCACCCAACCTGGGGGGAAGAGAAATACCCAACCCTCTCTAGCCTTCCTATGTCACATAAAGGGAGAAAAAAGCTGGGAAGCACTTTTGAAGGTTATAGTCTTCGGGCAGAAGCTCAGTAAAAGACTATAGGATTATACAGTACTTCCCCTCCTCCCACATATTATCACCGTATCACTAAGGTTCTTGTTATGATATATATAATACAACTGAAAGAACTGTAGGGCTCAGAATCTATGTAAGAAATCTGCTGGGAAACCCAAACACAGAAGAGGAGACTAAAATAAGAACACTGGAGGAAATTTTAGCCTCTGATACCTATAGCCACAGCAAACAATAAACAATAAACACAGAGTGATTCTTAGCCAGATAAATATAAAAGCTCACACTAATAACCTATTTAACTTAGTTCCTTTTACCTGATACATCATATCTACCTTTTTTTTTTTTTTAAGATTTTATTTATTTATTTGACAGAAAGAGAGAGAAAGCACAAGCAGGGGGAGCAGCAGAGGGAGATGGAGAAGCAGGCTTCCCACTGAGCAGGGAGCCCAACGCAGGGCTCAATCCCAGGACCCTGTCTGGGATCATGACCTGAGCCAAAGGCAGATGCTTAACCAACTGAGCCACCCGGGCACCCCACCTTTCAATAAAACTTAAAAGTTGGGGGATAAAGCATGTCTATAGTTGAGAACCTCTGTCAGCCCATGTCCTATTTTAGGGTTTTGGAAGTCCCACAGCCTACCTTCATTTTCTTCCATCTCTGTTCCTTCGAGTTCAGGTTCCAGTAGTTTTCCTGGTATAACATTCTCAGAACCCTTGTCAGCTTCCTGTGCATTTCATGGGGTTTCAGTCCTCAGACAAGAGGGTCCTCCATAGATCTTTCCTGGATAACCCCATCTCTATTCTTGCTTCTGCTGAGATGCCCAGTTGGATCCCTGAATCACAAGCCCAATCTCTTCAGCAAAAGATTGTCCAGCCACACCCTTGGCCCCTTTTTTCAGAGCACACATTCCAACAGTGAATTTCTTAATATTTGAATCCTTTGTAATCTGGATAGCCTGAGAACCACCCAAATCATCAAGAGCTGGCTCCTTTTTGCTTAACTATCCTTTTCTTAATTTACTTTTTTCCTTTTGCTTTTTACTGTAAGCATCAAGGAGAAGCAGTCTGTGCCTACAACCCTTTCCTAGAAATCTCTTCAGCTAAATATCTAAGTTCATTGCTTCTAAGTTCTACTTTCTGTCAAGCAGTGGAATACAATTCAGCCAAGTCCTCTACCACTTTAAAATAAGA